CTGAGGAAGTTCTTCCTAATGTTCAGGTGGATTCTCCTTTCTTGTCATTTGAATCCATCGCTCCATTGAGTCATGGGGCCCTTCCACACAGCCCTATTTCCCAGAATATTAAGGCAGAACATCTATATTCACTATATTCCGGCTCCAGTATTAGGGTGTTTATATTTAACCCTACCTCCATTTTTCTCTCCAGCCTCGGTTCACAAACGTTTCTAGACTTAGTCCCTCAAATATTTGGTTCGGACCTAAGGCACAATTCGGTTTAAAGTCCAGTTCCATTCCAGGGACCACGAGGCAGTCTCTGGCCCCATCTACACTACCACATAATGCGTGTTCAGAATATAGTTTCACTACATTGTATAAGTCTGCTCTGCCATACAATGTAGTTCAATGTCCACAGATATATAAACCTCACTTGCTTAGTTTCCAACAGACCTCACAACCTCTGAGGATGCCTGCCATAGATGCAGGCGAAACGTCAGAGAAGAATGCTTCTGGAACATGGCCACACAGCCCAGAAAACTCACAGTAACCCTGTGATTCCGGCCATGAAAGCCTTTGACAACACAAAATATGGATAATTATCTCACCCAACAACGGGTGTTTAAAGGCACCTTCCTCCAAATTATGGATCCTTCCTAAAGTAATAATATAACAACAATAATAAAACTAACTTACTACTTAATTACTTATTTACTCGTAGCTGGAGGATGATTGCCTTCCAGCTGTGGTGTCTTGGCGGTAGGTAGGTAGCTGTGGAGCCGTATTCTTGATCGTATGTTTCTTCGAAATCTGCAGCACTGCCAGTCACAGCTGACCTCCAGTTAGAGTGCTCAAGGGCCCAATTCTAGGCAAGTGAGGTCTATATATCTGAGGTTATAGATATACAGTATAACCTTAGAGGTTGTGAGGATGCCTGCCATAGATGCAGGCGAAACGTCAGGGGAGAATGCTTCTGGAATAAGGCGGAAACCTCACAACAACCTAGTTCAATGTCGTTCTAAAATGCATTATATGGCAGTGTAGATGGAGCCCAAATCTTTGAGTTTCGGTCCCATCTACTCTGTCATATAATGCAGTTTTAAATCACATTATATGGCAGTGTGAGTGAACAGTCTCTGAAGCACTCTCACACACGAACCGTGAATCAGCCATTCTTGAAATTAATTTTCGAATATCAGTTTTTCTGAAGGAGAAAAACTATACGTGGAAGAAAACACACACACACACCCTCCTTTCAGTCCTTTCCCCCTTTCAGTTCTCCTTTATCAGACTATTGTGTTATTATGATGTGCCTTCAAGTCAACTCCGACTTACGGTGACCCTCTCCTGGATTTTTCTTGGCAGGATTCCTTCAGAGGAAGTTTGCCCTTCCCTTCCTCTGAAGAGTGAGACTGGCCCAGAGTCACTCAGTGGGTGTCTCTGCAACCTGGTTTGCACAGAGATATACACCGAGAAAGTCACAGTGCAYCAGTCTGTCAGCTCCAGCTTCCCTTGGGTACATGAGAGAAGCCTCCCACAGGACYGCGACACATTCCCCTGGGCAACGTCCTTGCAGACAGCCGATTCTCTCACACCAGAAGCGACTTGCAGTTCCTCAAGTCGCTCCTGACACGATAAAAAAGTGATCTATTGGGCCGCAGTCTCGTGATACCATTCTCCTGGGCAACGTCCTTGAAGACAGCCAATTCCCTCACACCGGAAGTGACTTGCAGTTCCTCAAGTGGCTCCTGACACGATAAAAAGTGATCTATTGGGCCGCAACCTCATGATACAATTCTCCTAGGCAACGTCCTTGCAGACAGCCAATTCTCTCACACCAGAAGCAACTTGCAGTTCCTCAAGTGGCTCCTGACACGATAAAAAAGTGATCTATTGGGCCGCAACCTCATGATACCATTCTCCTAGGCAACGTCCTTGCAGACAGCCAATTCTCTCACACCAGAAGCAACTTGCAGTTCCTCAAGTCGCTCCTGACAGATAAAAAAGRGCTCTATTGGGCATCAGACTCGTGATACCATTCTCCTGGGCAACGTCCTTGKAGACAGCCAATTCTCTCACACCTGAAGCGACTTGCAGTTTCTCTGTTTTTCTAACATTTTCCTCCCCTAAGAGTAACACGGCGCTCCATGCAGTCATGCCGGCCACATGACCTTGGAGGTGACTACGGGCAACGCCGGCTCTTCGGTTTAGAAAAGGAGATGGACATTACACTATGTAACAAAATTAAGGGGAATTTTATATTCCTGGTTCGAAAGTGTTATTTCCTGTTTAATTGTGCGGTCGTTACTTTGAAAGTCGTTGTTCCACTCCAGAACCTTCGTTTTCGTGGCGCAAATTATATCGAATTGGTTGAGATATTCATTGAAAAACTATAGCAAAAAGGTGCTGCGAGATGTCCGGCCAAAAAACAGAAATACTGTGTTGTTGTAGATTTTTTCGGGCTATATGGTCATGTTCTAGAAGCATTCTCTCCTGAGGATGCTTGCCATAGATGCAGGCGAAACGTCAGGAGAAAATGCTTCTAGATCATGGCCATATCGCCCGAAAAAAAACTACAATAACCCAGTGATTCCAGCCGCGAAAGCCTTCGACAATACAACAGAAATACACTTTGGATGCCTGCCATAGATGTAGGAGAAACGTCAGGAGAGAATGCTACTGGAACATGGCCATACAGCCCGAAAAGCTCACAACCCAAAAATACACTTTCCCCATGTTTTTACTAATGAACCATTTAGGAAATGGCATTTATAACCCAGGAACCAAAATCGTGCTAGATGGATTTACATTGACTCCAAGACAATGCAGGTTCGAACTGCGTTATTTGGCGGTGTAGATCCAGCCCGGGGGGGGGGGGACCCTGGCCTTGAATTTCTTTAGTCCTCTTCCATTGGAAAACCTTAACACCTCCCTCTTGTGCCCCCTCCCCCCAAATGGGTTAAGCCCTGGTGCTGGCAGGACTGGAAACCGGCAGATTGGAGATTCGAATCCCGGGACAGCGCGGATGAGCTTCCTCTGTCAGCTCCAGCTCCCCATGCAGGGACAATGGAGAAGCCTCGCACAAGGGTGGTAAAACATCAAGACATCCGGGGCGTCCCCTGGGCAACGTCCTTGCAGACGACAGATTCCCTCACACCGGAAGCGACTTGCAGTTTTTCAAGTCGCTCCAGATACCAATCTTTTATCTAAATAAAAATGTAATGTTCATTTGTGGGATTAACTTAATTCAAAAATCACTGGAATTGACATGAAATTTGGACATTATATCCCTACAGACCAAGGAGTGACCATCACTCATAATCCCCTCCCAAAATATAGCAGAAAGAACTTTAAAAACCTCAAAAGCTAAATGACGATACAGCGCATGTGCAAAAATGACAGCTCCCAGCATCCCCTTTAGGAGAGGAGGATGCCCCAAATGCACTGCTTCCAAGCTGTAAGCTTGCTTCTCCTTGGATTTCTTTGAGAGCATCCCAATCTATACAAACCTCCTATTCCTGGACTGCAACTCTCAGCAAGCCTTCAGATAGATAAGATATATAGATTAGATAGAGATAGATAGTTGGTAGATGGATCAATCAGGAGGACTGCTGGGAGTTACAGTCCAAGAAGGAAGAAAGGAGAGAAAGAAAAAGGGAGGGGAAGGAAGGAAAAGGTAGAAAGGGAGGGAGGGAGGGAGGAAGGAGAGGAAAGAGAAGGAAGGAAAGAGGTAGAGCAAGAAGAAAGAGAAAGAGGGAGGGAAGGAAAGAAAGACAGAAAGAGAGAAGGAAGGATGGAAGCAAAAAGCGAAGGAAGGAAGGAAAGAGGTTGAGGAGGAAGAAAGGAGAGAAAGAGAAGGAAAAAAGGGGGAAGGAGGGAAAGAGGTAGAGAAGGAAGGAAAGAGAAAAGGAAAGAAAAATGAAGGAAAGAGAGCAAAGGAAGGAAAGGAAGAGGGAGGGAAGGAAAAAAGGAGAAGAGAGAAGGAAGGAGGAAGAAAAAGGCAAAGGAAGGAAAAAAGAAAGAGAGAGGAGGAGAAGGAGAAAGGAGAGAGAAAGGAGGAAGGAAGGAAAGGATAGAGAAGGGAGGAAGGAGAGAAAAAGAGGGAAAGGGAGGGAGGAAGAGAAGGAAAAAGGGAAGAAGAGGAAAGAAAGGAAGGAGAGAAGGAAGGAAAGGAAGAAGAGAAGAAAAAGGGAGGGGAAGGAAGAAGAGGTAGAGAGGAAGGGAGGGAGGGAAAAAGGAAGGAAGAGGAAGGAAGGAAGGAAGGAAGGAAGGAAGGAAGGAAGGAAAAGGAAAAGGGAGGAAGAAAAGGAGGGAGGAAGAAGGAAGAAGGAGAGAAAAGGGAGAGAGGAGGAGGGTAACGGTGGCACAGCACCGGGCGCCGGGGTACAGCTGATAGATCTAGTAGATAATAAATGGATAGTTCAAGATATTGAGATATACAATTAGAAGATAATAGATAGATAGATAAAGATAGATAGAGAGAGAGAGAGATCGATCGATTGTAAACTGCATGATTGGGTAAAAAATGTCCCAATGTTGCCTGCTTGCTTGCTTGCTTGCTTCCTTGCTTGCTTGCTTCTTCCTTGCTTGCTTGCTTGCTTGCTTGCTTGCTTGCTTGCTTCCTTCCTTCCTTCCTTCCTTCCTTCCTTCCTTCCTTCCTTCCTCTTCCGAGGCACCGCGTAAAGGTCGCAACTTAGAGCCAAGGGATGGATCGGGCGGGCTGGGGAGGGTGGCCTCTCCTCCCCATTCCCCCCTCCCTCTATTCCCATGAGCGGGCTTTTTGAGGAGGGGGGCTTGCAAGCCCTGATAGGCGCTTTCGCCCTCAAGTCGGGGTGGGTTTTCTCCGCCTTTAAAGGCTCTCCGGGGCAGAGAGAGGAGGAGAAGGAGGAGAGAGAAGGGCAAGGGGGAAGGGGAGGGAGAGAGAGAGAGAGAGAGGCGTGGGTGTTGCGCATGCGTGCGGAGGGAGGGGGCAAGAGGGAGCGAGGGGGAGAGAGGGGCCGCTCCGTCTCCTCCGCCGAGAGAGAGAGCGCGACTGCCTCGGAGGCCAGAGGGATGCTCCCGGAGCGCTGAGCAGCAGCAGCAGCAGCCTCCATGAGCGCCGAGGCCGGGGCCGTGATGAGTCCCCCGCCTCCCGCCTCGACGTCTTCTTCGGCCTTGGAGAGCTCCAGTTCGTCCTCCTCGAGCATCAGCGCCGCGTCTTCCGCCTCCTCCTCCGCCTCGTCGTCGTCCTCCTCGTCCGCGCCGTCCAAAGCCAAGAAGCCCAGCTCGGGCCTGCGCCGCCCGGAGAAGCCGCCCTACTCGTACATCGCGCTGATCGTGATGGCCATCCAGAGCGCGCCGTCGAAGCGGCTCACGCTGAGCGAGATCTACCAGTTCCTCCAGGCCCGCTTCCCCTTCTTCCGCGGCGCCTACACGGGCTGGAAGAACTCCGTGCGGCACAACCTCTCGCTCAACGAGTGCTTCGTGAAGCTGCCCAAGGGCCTGGGCCGCCCGGGAAAAGGCCACTACTGGACGCTGGACCCGGCCAGCGAGTTCATGTTCGAGGAGGGCTCCTTCCGGCGCCGCCCGAGGGGCTTCCGAAGGAAGTGCCAGGCCCTGAAGCCCACCTCCGCCGCCGTCTACCACCGCCTCGGCTTCCTCCCGCAAGGCTTCGACTTCCCCGCGCCGGCGGGGCACCCCAACGCCTACGGGGCCCTCGACGTCATGCCGCCCTACCACGAGGCCCCCCACCACGTCCCCCACATGTCGCCCAACCCGGGCTCCAGCTACATGGCCAGCTGCCCGGTCTCGGCCAACGACAACTACGGGCCCGACGGCGGGAGCAGCAGCAGCCCCGTGCCCTCCTCGCCCGCCGTGGCCAGCGCCCTGGAGGGACACTCGCCCTACGGAAGCCCCCCCGCCGGGCACTGGGCCGCCGCCGCCGCCACCTCGGGGCCCTACCTCAAGCAGCAGGCCTTGCCCACCCACCCGCACCCGCACCAGCCGCCCGCCCCCTCCGCCCTCCAGCCCTACGCCCTCGAGCAGAGCTACCTGCACCAAAACGCCCGCGAAGACCTCTCAGGTACGGCCCCCACCCCAGCCCCCTCCCGCACTCACCCCGTCCCTGCACTTTCCTCCAGACAAGGAACTCCTTCATGAACTAGATTTCCTAGATACCTTCCACATCCATCCGAAAATGCATTCCATGGTTAGCGCTATAGATGGAGCCCTCATCTCCCAAGCGTTGTGGCAAAGTCAAATCGGGATACTGGTGGTATATTATTATTATTATTATTATTATTATTATTATTATTATTATTATTATTATTAAAAGGTAAAGATAAAGGTTTCCCCATGACATTAAGTCTAGTCCTGTCTGATATCTTCCCAAAGCGGTACCATATTGACTTGCATGTTTTCCAACTGCTAGGTTTGCAGAAGCTGGGGCTAACAGAGGGAGCTCACCCGCTCCCTCCGGATTCGAACCTCCAACCTTTATGTCAGCAAGTTCAGCAGGCTCAGCGATTTAACCCACTGCGCCAGGGGGGCTGCGTGAGCTCCCGCTGTTAGCCCCGGCTTCTGCCAACCTAGCAGTTCGAAAAAAATGCACTTGTGAGTAGACAAATAGGTACCGCTCCAGCGAGAAGATAACGGCGCTCCATGCAGACCACACGACCTTGGAGGTGTCTACGGACAACGCCAGCTCTTCGGCTTAGAAATGGAGATGAGCACCAGCCCCCAGAGTCAGACACGACTGGACTTAATGTCAGGGGGAAACCTTTAGTATATGTATAGTATAGCTAGATTCCCAAGCGGGTGGCAAAGTCAAGTCGGGGTATTGGTGGTGTATTATTATTATTAGCTTATTATTAATAATATTAATATTTTAATGCGTACAAGATTAGTACGCAGCAAACAAGATCACTATGTTGGCTCTTGTATTGGATCACATGTCGGACACTTCCCAAATGTCTAGGATTATTATTATTATTATTATTATTATTATTATTATTATTATTATTATGGCACTACAGTGTAGTGGTCTGAGCATTGAGCTAAGACTCTAGAGACCAAGCCCCCTTCTACACTGTGATATAATCCAGATTATCTAAGCAGAAACTCCACATTATCTGCTTTGAAGCGGATTATATGAGTCTACACTGCCTTATAATCTAGTTCAAGGCGGATAATCTGGATTGTATAGAGCCATGGAAACCCACTGGGTGACCTTGGGCAAGTCACGCTCTCTCAGGCTCAGAGAAGTGCCAAGGCGAACCTCCCCAAAACCTTAGCGTAGCCATAAATTGGAGAGGCACACAACAGCTCCTATTATTATTATTATTATTATTATTATTATTATTATTATTATTATTATTATTATTATTATTACTATTATGTGAAACACAACAAGATAAGTCCACAGCAGACATTCTGCTGGCTGTTGAATTGGCTCACACGTCGGACACTTATTATTATTATTATTATTATTATTATTATTATTATTATTATTTGAAACTCAACAAGATTAGTGTCTAGGACTGTGTGATGTATCGGCAAGTAATGCGTGCAGATCCGAGTAGGGTGGCCTTTTGCAGCTGACAAATTGTTATTTTGACCCTACGGATTTTTTTTAAGTGCAGGCCAAGGTCTTTAGTTATTGTTATTGTTATTAGGCCATTCAGATAGTGAGGCTAGTGTCGCTAGTGCAGTATTTGCTTTTGTGGCAAAGGCAGAAAAGCTTGACCTTTCCACGCCTCCACGAGTCCCTCGGACCCTTCCATCGCCTACAGGTGTGATGCTAAGCAACAGCCTTCGTTGGGAATCGTTTCCACGCAGCTTGGTTCTGGTGAGATTCTTGCATAGTTGGGTATCCAGTATAGGAGCAGAAGGGGACTTTGCGTCCAGTTTGGCACTTGGACGGGTGCGAGAAAGAAAGCAAGCAAGCGGCCCAAAAGAGTGGATCAGGGCCACCGTCTTGAAAGGAGATTTTGTCTCGAACAACAGAAATACTTTGGTAGCACAAGGTGTCCTAAAAGTAAGAGACAAGTAAACTCCGTTTGGGCTGGAGCTGTCAGATCTTTCTTGCAGGGGAAGGTTGACGAGGAGAGATGCAGGTCGTGTTGAAAGGAGGAGGTGGAAGTGAGGAGCAGGAATCCGCAAACTGAGTTGTTGGGAGGAGAAATGATCATGGCAATGGGATAAAGTAATTGTGGACCCAGAGCCAGGGAAGTATGATCTATGATACAAACCAATTTGTTTGTTAAATTCAGTCCTTTTACGTGCAAGTAAATGAAACAAAGGCCCCTCAACACTGTCCCTATATCCCAGGATCTGCTCCCAGATTATCTTCTTATCCCAGATTATACGGCAGTGGAGACTCATATAATGCAGTTCAAAGCAAATAATGTGGAATCAGATCCTCGGATATAAGGACAGTGTAAAAGAGGTCAAAGACTGTGTTGTGGAAGGCTTTCATGGCCAGAATAACTGGGTTGTTGTGAGTTTTCCAGGCTGTATGGCCATGTCCCAAAAGCATTCTTTTCTGACAGGGTAATTCCAGACAAGAAACAATCAGGGCCATCTTTTTTTTCTTTTACTTTTTTTTTTTTTTTGGTCGTGTCAGGAGCGACTTGAGAAACTGCAAGTCGCTTCTGGTGTGAGAGAATTGGCCGTCTGCAAGGACGTTGCCCAGGGGACGCCCGGATGATTTGATGTTTTATCATCCTTGTGGGAGGCTTCTCTCATGTCCCCGCATGAGGAGCTGGAGCTGATAGAGGGAGCTCATCCACCTCTCTCCGGATTCGAACCTGCGACCTGTCGGTCTTCAGTCCTGCCGGCACAGGGGTTTAACCCACTGCGTCCATTAGGGCCAGCTAATACCTCTCAACAAAAGATCCCCTCAGGCAGGAAGCAGCCAGACTTTGAAGCCGCAAAGCCATTCAGTGCTAATCAAGGTGGCCAACTGCAACATTCACACTTGCCTCAGACAAGAGTTCATTCTCCCACCCTGGATATTCCACAGATATAAACCTCACTTGCCTAGTTTCCAACAGGTCCCTCAATCTCAAAGTAGATGTGGACAAAACGTTAGGAGAGAAACCTTCTGAAACATGGCCACACAGCCTGGAAATCTCACAGCTACCTGGGCCAAAGAATGCCATTCTGGAACCCTAGAGGATCATTCCAGAGTAACCCCTACTTGTCCAATGAGGAGAGGCGAATAAGAAAATATATTATTATTATTATTATTATTATTATTATTATTATTATTATTATTATTTATTTGAAACACAGCAAGATGAGTCCACAGCAGACAAGATCACTGCTGGCTGTTGTATTGGATCACATGTCAGACACCTCCCAAGTGTCTTGGACTGTGTGATGTATTGGCAAATAATGTGTGCAGATCCCAGTAAGGTGGCCTTCTGCAGCTGGCAGATGGTAATTTTGTCAGTGCCGATTGTGTTTAAGTGCAGGCCAAGGTCTTTAGGCACTGCACCCAGTGTGCCGATCACCACTGGGACCACCTTGACTGGCTTGTGCCAGAGTCTTTGCATTTCGATCTTTAAATTATTATTATTATTATTATTATTATTATTATTATTATTATTATTATTGGAATTCATAAAGAAGTCCAAAGAAGCCATCAAATATCACTGATCATAATTTTGGAAGCTGCTGCATGGGAGGAGTTGCTAGGAGGAAGACCCAAAATTCCTGTACACATGGGAATGTATTGTCGAAGGCTTTCATGGCCGGAATCACTGGGTTGTTGTAGGTTTTTCCGGGCTATATGGCCATGTTCTGGAGGCATTTTCTCCTGACGTTTCGCCTACATATATTGCAAGCATCCTCAGAGGTCTATCAGGCATCCTCAAACTGCGGCCCTCCAGCTGTTTGGGCCTTCAGCTCCCAGAATTCCTGACAACTGAACAAGCTCGTTTAGGACTTCTGGGAGTTGGAAGCCCAAAAACCTGGAGGGCCGCAGTTTGAGGATGTCTGGTTTGGAGAGAAAAGAGAGTCATTACAAGTCCGGGATCTTTTACTGCAGAGGAAGGTTGACGGGGAAAGGCGCAGGTCGCGTTGAAAGGAGGAGCTGAAAAATCAACAAGAAAAAACCAGGGAAAGGATGATAGGGTTTTTCAAATTGGAGAAAACCTCAAGAGAGAGGAACTAGTGCTGTGTATGAATTATGAACCCATATCTCTTGCATCCTTCAGACTTGGGAGGCAAAGGGAGCAAGTTTCAGACTAACAAAAGGAATACTTCGGTAAGGGACAAGTAAACTCCGATTGGGTTGGTGCTGTCAGATAACCCCGGTCCCAAAACACGCCTCGGCGGAGTGTTTTCTCTCAAAACAGCGTGAGAAAACAAAGAGGGGCGTCCAGAGGGGAAAAGAGAGCTATTGTTCGGAGAGGAGCGGGCAAAGGGGAGGCTTGGGCCCGAGAAAGAAGGCTGAGATGGTTTCCCTTCCCTGAAAACTAAATAAAACCAAAATAGAAGGTCTTCTAACCTCAAAGAGGCGCGATGGAGAAGGAGGGCACCTTCCTAACGCCGTGGGTCCAGATCTTCTCGAAACCTGAGCCCCCCTTTTCTCTCTCGGAGGAAGGGACGAGATGCCACCCACCGAGGCGCTTGCTGGACCGTGGAAGTTAATTACTCCCGGGTTTAGGACGATTGCCAGGATCACAAAGGTCGAGATTAATGTTCAGCCAGTCTCTCTCCCCTCCGTCACGTTACAATAATACCTTCAGGGGTTTTTGCTTGGGGGTTCGAGTGGATTTCGAGGTTTACAAGGACGTCTTCAGTAGGTGAAATGTTCGGAGACTCGGGTTTAGCTCTACACAGGCCAATAATGTAGTTTGAATTTGCAATGACCTGTATTATATGGGGCAATGCTGAGTTCCCTCGGGGAGATAGAGCAAAATATAAACAAAGTTGTTTATTAGGTTCCTGTGAGTTTTCCGAGCTGTATGGCCGTGTTCCGGAAGCATTCTCTCCCGACGTTTCGCCCACATCTATGGCAGGCATCCTCAGGGATTGAGGGGTTATTTATATCCAACTGCATTATTTAGTGGATTC